GAAACAGAAAAAGAATACATATATATATATATATATATATATATATATATATATATATGTATATATAATTTAGAACATCATCTAGTCAATGTGTGCTCATTTGATCATTTGCAAATTTAAACCCAAGAGAGAACAAAAATATATAACTGTAATTCATATATATTGGGGCGTCACTATTTACAGGTATTGACGATAATCGTGATATTTAAAAAAATGAAATATTGTTATCGTGTTGATTTAGGGGTGCTGCTATATATCGGTATGTGCAATAACTGATATTTAAAAATGAACCGTGGACGTAAATTAACATGACACATAAATAATCCAGTGCCAGTAACCAGAGATGATTTTATAATTGGGAGATACCATTACCAGGGTCAGTGCTTCTACCACTGAAGAAGGCAGCTAACTTTGTATGCCTTGATAATCAATCACTTTACAGCCTTGGCAATCTTTGAATTTCTGTCAGAGATGTGCCACAGTCAGTTACTGTTTGCAGATACCATAGAAATGAATGAGAATCGCCGTAAACAGAATCATCATTGCCTTTATCACTGTATAGAATACTACAAAATAATATGATTTATGCTTCATTTTGTGATAATGGTTGCCATTAAGTGTAATTGTTCCTTTTGTATGAAATAGGAAATAGGAAACAGACATACACAGATTAAATATACATTATATAATACACACACACACTTTATATTTCTATATATAAAGAGAATAAAACAAACAGCACCCCTACACACACACACACACACACACACACTTTTACATTCATATGATATCACACACAAGAAAAAATTGCAGTTACTACAGTACCAATGACATCAAACATATTCTGTGGTCTCTACAGTATGAAAAATATGAGGAAGCGTATTTATCTTCTCAATCATTGGGCTTATTGGTAACACTTTACAATAAGGTTGTATTTTGTTGACATTAGTTAACATGAACTAACAATGAACAATAAATTTGTTACAGTATTAATCTTTGTTAATGTTAATGAAAATAGTTATTGTTCATGTTAGTTCACAGTGCATTAACTAATGTTAACAAATGCAGCTTTTGATTTTAATAATCTATTAGTAAATGTTGAAATTAACATTAACTAAGATCAATAAATGCTGTAGAAGTATTGCTCATGCTTAGTTCATGTTAACTAATACAGTTAATTACTGCGAACTAATGAACCTTATTGTAAAGTAAACTGTTGGAAGGAGTTCGTATACATGTATTATGGTTTTACAAAAGCAAAACAAAATCTGTAACAACACTGTTTTGGCATATTATGGTTACCATTGTAGTGTTTTTGCACGAGACAGAAAAATATAAACAAAACAAAATATCATAGGAATGCTAATTCTCCATCCTCTTGTATCAAACTCATCACACTCAAAGCTTTTGTGCAAGATACTGACAATACATTTGTTACAGTATTAATCTTTGTTAATGTTAATGAAAATACAGTTATTGTTCATGTTAGTTCACAGTGCATTAACTAATGTTAACAAATGCAGCTTTTGATTTTAATAATCTATTAGTAAATGTTGAAATTAACATTAACTAAGATCAATAAATGCTGTAGAAGTATTGCTCATGCTTAGTTCATGTTAACTAATACAGTTAATTACTGCGAACTAATGAACCTTATTGTAAAGTAAACTGTTGGAAGGAGTTCGTATACATGTATTATGGTTTTACAAAAGCAAAACAAAATCTGTAACAACACTGTTTTGGCATATTATGGTTACCATTGTAGTGTTTTTGCACGAGACAGAAAAATATAAACAAAACAAAATATCATAGGAATGCTAATTCTCCATCCTCTTGTATCAAACTCATCACACTCAAAGCTTTTGTGCAAGATACTGTATGTTAGTGGACTAATGTATGGAATAGTGAATGAGGGAAGTAGGAGTTAGGAGGTACATGGCAAATAATAAGAAGTGAGTGATCGTATGAGTAATATTAGTGGAAATACTTATTAATATGATTTTATATTGTTTTATAGTACTTGTTTATATCAACGTTATATTTTAATATTATTCATTATTGTGTCTTATTTTATTAATAATCAAGGTTAATGGTAAATAAATTACCAGTTTATCAAATTTAAATCATACCTGACAAGTATTAAAGTAGCCATAAAAACAAGTCATAAATTATATTCTCACTTTTTCCTCTTCGTTTTTTTTTTTTTTTTTAGAATATATTTACAGTGGACAGAAATACCTACGTAATGGTAGTCATGTTGTATTTTGATTGTATATACTGAGAATAAACTAAAATCCAGGGAACTTCTTATATAAATGCAAGACCAAATCAAACAGGAACACCAAAAACAATGCTTCACAAAATGTCACATTTGTAATATTTTATTCAAATTCATGTGCAAATAGTTTAAGAGTTAGTAATTATTAAATAGTCTGTGCTCTGTTTTTAGCAGCACTTTGCTGCCTGGTTGCCTTGTAGCTGTTGTTTTCGCCGCTCCACATGTTCGGTATTAAGGGACATCAGCTGCGTCAGGAAGCTTATGGAGGGCTTGATGTGTCGCATCTTTATGACGTGATCAATGGCTTCGTCCACCATCATGTCATGGTGGATCATCAGATATGCCAGCAAAAGTGTAGGGGAGTGGCTGACACCATGACTGCAGTGAATTAACACCTTATCTGTGAATATAAAAACAGAAAGACGGTCAAAAAAAAAAACTCATTCCCCAAACAATTTGTCACTTTAGAACACTTGATAAAAAGATCTTACTTTCTGGGTTCCTCAGGGCCTTGTGAATGAATTTGGCAGCTGGTAAGAAGTACATGCCCATGTTGAAACCATCTCTGTGTGTTGTGGCCAAGCCACAATATTTGATGTTCATGCCTCTGTAATATTTCGCCCCTGTATTTATCTTTCCTTTCAGGTCTTTCTCTGTTGGCATTCCCATCAGGACCCTCAGCTTCTTCTTCACTGCTGCAGCATTTAAGATGTGGGTAATACCCATCTCTTTGAGTTTGGTTCGGTCCCTTGCTGTCTCTCTGCACAAGAACACAACAACCTAAATTAGCCTTTCAGTAAAGAGGATTTACATTGTAGAAATACAATTGTGTTTGATTCCTGCATTACATTATTGCTTTATCACATGGTTTATATTCGTCTATATGAGTTGCAGACTTACTCATTTCCCAAGAAGATGTTGGGCCAGACCTCAGTGACAGGTGTCTCAGACAGTATACATTCCTCCAAACGGTTTTTCAACTGGGAAATGTTTTGAGGAATATAGTTCTCTAACACTGAAAGCTCTGTCACTTGAGGTTCCTGCTCGGGAACGATTGCTCCTGGGACACACAGCGGCTCTGGAAGAGTAGGATTCTTCTGAGGCTGTGCTGAGATCCCAAAAAGCTTTTGGAAGAATGCACTCATTTTTTTGATCTTCCTCACTTTGGCATATTCTGAAAAAGAAGACCGTATGTTATTAGAAACATCTCTAACAACAGATTAAACATGAATAGTTTGAAAAATATTTCTGTTTGCATGCCATTGTAATGTAAAGCAACTCAAATGCTCTGTTGACATTCACCTGTTGGGATGTCCTCCTCAGGGATTTTAGGAGAAGCATCAGTGCCACTCTGATCGTTCCCACTGCTGCTCCCTCCCACTTCTGCTGAAGGGCCTGCTGGTTCGGTCAGATCTTTAGACATCAGCATTGGGCTCCTCATCTTCGAGATGGCATCGCTGATGTCATCCACCAAACCTTCTGAGGATGAAGGTCCCGATTCAAAACTGCTCGGATCTGGGATACACCATTCCTCAGTATTGTCCGGATCCAGTTGAGGTTCCATAGGCTCAGATGTTGAGGACAAAGGTTCAGATGTTGGTTCAGGAGCGCTTGCAGCTGGGACACACAGTGACTCATCCGGATCCGGCTGCGCTGAGATCCCATAACGCTTTTGGAAGAACACACTAATTGTCTTCCTCACTTTGGCATATTCTAAAAAAATTAAGAAAAACAGTATTTTATTAGAAACATCTATAACCACAGATTAAACATGAATAATTAAAGTTTGGACGCATTTACTGTTTAGCAAAATCAAATGACGGCCAAAAAATGTCCTATGCAAATTACGCTCACATTCAAGTTGGTCACTTGAATTCACCACGCTGACCAATAGAAAGCTGCTTGGTTCGAAATAGGGGTGTAAAGGGTTCAACACGTACATGTTCTGCACCTTTAGTCCGTCATTTTTATTTGCAACTCAATGCAATGTTGTATTTCAACTGCTCTGTTGATATTTACCTATTGGGATGTCCTTCTTAGCGATTTCAAGAGAAGCATCCATGCCACCCTGACCGATCTCACTGCTGCTTCCTGCCTCCTCACACAGCGACTCATAAACAGCCGGATCAGTCTTAGGCTGTGCTGAGATCCCAGTCCGGAAGAACTCACTAATGGTCTTCCTCACTTTGGCAAATTCTGTAAAAGAAGAAAAACAACATGTTATTCGAAA